AGCGAATACGTGGGCAAACGAGTGGAGCCATTCTCCCACGCTACCCACGAGCCGTAGCGCACCACTGCTTTTGCAACGTAGATTACAGTCTGACGCGGGGACCGCGGATGCAGAGAGACGAAAACAGAAACTTGAAGAACAGCGGGCCTTGTGGGAATCAACTCTTCCTCGGATCATGTCCGACCACGTTGGTTATTTCTCCGCCGGACATCATCTCGATTACGTGCATCCTGAGGAGACGCCACCGCCGCCGTAAAAATATTCGTGTCCGGCTGTCGTTTGGGAACCTGCCTTGGTCACCTAGATCGTATCGGCCAGTCCCACGCCACAACGCTAGTTGCTTCTTTTCAAAGACCACGCAGCTTTTTCGATATTCCCATCTCTTTACTTTACTTCACTTTATTTGTTTGCGCATTGACAGGCGTCGGCGTACAGTGGCATGCTGCATTGCAGACTTATGGACTACCAGATTACGACTGCTTGGATCGAAATGTATATCTTCTCTGTATGCTCTGGTTGCGACAGTGACGGGTGTTGATAGCATACTGATGGCACACTACCGTCTTTTGAGTAATATTATTCTCAACACTACCACATCAAGCTCCTTTGTCAGTGAAACCAACAACTACACACATGCTGCCGACGTGAATGTGACTGGAAGCATTGTTCTATTCCGAAGCTGGACTAGGTGGTAGATCTCCTGTCGCCCAGAGACTGGGACTACTTCCCATCACATACTCCATGGTGCCTCCGTTCTCAAAGACATCTTCCCAAGCCACCCATGCCTTGTCCCAAGTCTCGCCATTGACCTTCAGACTCTGCACATATGGTGCGGTATTCCGATCGCCGCCATCACTGAAAGCAGTCGTAACAGCAAGTTTCTTCCCGTTCCCAAGATCAAGCGTAAGCTCTGAGAACCATGGGGAGAGAATGAGAAAAGTAGTCTGACCCGTCACTGGGTATAGACCGATCATCTGCCACTACATACACTGTTAGCCATCGTCTCCAGAAACCATCAAAATAAGACTGAAAAGATGACTTACGAGCAAGTTCGCCTCCATAGCCCCCGCATCCGAATTCCCCGGCAACCCCATAGCCCCCGCATTATACAAATCCGAAACACCCCTACTCCGCTCTACACTCCTCCACTGCTCTCCCTTGACGAAATTGTAAAGATACGGCGTGGTAAAACTAGGTTCATTCCCGGCGTCAAAGAAGCCCAACTCGAAGATCTTGTTCAAACGATCTACAAACCTCCCATCGCCGCCTACTCTCTTTATCAACTCGGCGACGTCGTGAATAGCATTCATACTGTAGATCCAACTATTGTCTTCATAGTACGCGTCGGACCAGTAGCAGCCATCACAGTCAGCGGGGTCTTGTTGTACGAAATCGCCGTTTGCGAGGCGCGGGACGAGGAAACCTGTGTGGTTGTAGGAGGAAGCATTGGGGTTCCACTGGTTACGCCAGTTACGGGAGCGGTTAAGGTAGGTTTCTGCTTCGGATGTTTTACCCAGTCCCGCGGCGACGACGTGGACTGCGTAGTCGTTGGTTGAGTATTCTACGGCACGCGATACGGCGCGGGTAAAAGCTGGTGTTATGTATCCGTACTCGAGCCAATCTGGAAGTGCGCCACGGCCCTCTTTAGTCGAGGAATCAGGGGCTTGAGGGTCGAAGTTGTTGGGTGGGACGACTTCAGCGTCTGTACGCATAGCGGCGAAACCATCGTCCCAGTTTATCGCGCCCCGGACGCCTTTGATATATGCGTCTGCGAGCACGTTGTCGGCGTTCGATCCGCCCTGTACGCGGCCGTTGTAGTTTGACGACCGGGCGTCGGGTAGGAAGCCGTCGTGGCGCCAGATGTCGATTAGAGAGCGCAGAAATTCTTCGTAGGCGGTGGGTTGGAGGATGTGGAAGAGAGAGGTGTGGCAGCGGTGCGTGTCCCAGAAGGTGAAGATGTCGTCGTAGTAGGGTTCGGTGGAGTTCCAAGATGGGTTCTCGCCGGTTCGGTTCGAGGGGATGAGGAAGGCGCCGTAGAGGCTGCTGTAAATGAGGGAGAGGTCGGAGGTGTCGAAGGAGGAGGTTTGGATTTTGCTCAGGATTTCGGTGTTCCATCTGTTCTTTGCGGTGGAGACGAGGGTGGTGAGTGAGGTGTCGGGGGAGATTTCTTCTAGGTTTGTACAAGCTTGAGAGGAAGAGAGGAAGGAGATGCCGACTCGGGATGTTATTTCCGGTGAGATGAATGTGAAGACACCACCCAGACGAGCAGTTCCTGATACCGGGTTGTTTGTTGCATTGGCATCTCCATTGAAAGCTCTTGATCGTACAGGCTGCTTGCTGAACCGGCCGCAGAAATAGATTGTCCAATCTGGTGATAGGTTCCAGCCGTTGTTATAGATGCCGAATCCTTCATAGTGCCCATCTTCTTCGATACTGAAGCTACCACCCGAGTAGTGTTGTTCCCACCCAAGACCCCTGAAACTGGGAAGTACGTGCGAAACGTCGACTACAATGGACGACGCTGTGTCATTTGGAAAAGAGTAAGTGTAAAGCCCGGCATGTTCGGTCGCACCTAGTTCTACTGTGATCCCATTTGCCAGCGAACTCTTGTAGTAACCAAGACTCCCTTGATCTGGCGATGCTCGTGGTTGGGACAGATCTGCAAGGGGGTCCGGCACCTCACCGACCACTGGCATCTGACTTACGACGCCGTACTTTGGCGCTCCTCCTGTCCCAGACTCGTGCATCATACTGAAGCCGAAAATTTTGCCCTCGGGGAGGTACCCAGAATATGCGTCGGTGTTCATAAACTGAACGTCTGGTCCAAGCTTGACCATTGCGAAGGGTGTGGCCACGACTCCAGGAAATCTATTTCCTCCGCCCTGGGTTCCTTGACTAACTTTTGTGAGTGAAGCACAGATAGCATGGAACCTGCTACTTACAAGACATTGACGTGTTTGCTGTAATCCAATTGTGCCTGCACAGATCCGGTTGAGATTAGTATGGAAAAAGTACAAATGCCTGTGAAGAAAGACGATCTGGTAGGAGACGACATCTCTGCAGTTGCAAAGTAGAATTTGCCAAAATACAAGGTAGAGGTGGCGCTTTAAACAGAGAAGCAAACAGTACGCGAGAGTGTGGCGCTAGGTGTGTTGCTAAGTATGGGTCACCACCATGCCAGCGTTCTCGGTACCGCCAGATCAGTACTCAACGACGCGTATCTCAGGAAGTATGAATTCCAATGAATGATTACTGCCTTTGCGTGGACGTATGGCGCAGTCTTTGATGTGGCTCAACTGTGGCTAACACGTGCCGTGGGTGCCGTGTATGCCGAGCGGTCCGGACGGGTCAAGCAATATAGGGGGCTGAGACGATGAGAGTAGTGAAAGAACAGGACTGAGGGCGGCTAAAACTCGAATATAAGGCATGCATCTTGCCATCTACGGGGCAATGTAGGCTGTACCCTGAATATTGGGGTGTTGTAACGAGACGGCCTGCTGACCAATGAGAGCTCATGATCCCAACATGTGAGCGAGAAGTCGCCAGTGTGTTATCGACACCTGCAGCACCGCTTAGACAAGCAGGCATGTCTGACGTAGTTGTACGCTTGAAAGCCTTGTAGATGATGCAAAGTTCCCGTTTTGCTGTGATATCGAGTGGCAGATGGTCAGTTTCATCGTTATCATTCGACATAGATGGGCCGAATGCGACTAATCAACATACGGGATGACAGGATGCATCAGGACATATACTTCGGTCCCGCAACGGTAACGGATCTGTGTGTTCGTGCCCGAAGAGGGGTTCCTGACAGGGCTACGCTGGCAAACATCTCAGTCTTTGGACCAAGCCTCGAGGTTCTGGACAACAGGATTTCTGCCACCCCGTGTGATAATCCAAACAACATCCTCATCGCTGTCGTTGATCTCTTGATGCTCTGCATACGCTGGTATGAGTGCAAAATCCCCTGGTGCTAGCTCTTGTCTTTTACTGCCGTTCGTTCCGCTGACTAGGGCGCCATGACCCTTCGCGGCGTACACGATGGTGTCTGCCAAGATGTCAGGTACTACTCGTACAATATTACGAAATCGCTCGAGCGCGTAGGAAGGAGAACACGGGTGCAATGCAGGACGTACCCTCGTCGCCGTGGTGGTGGATCGCAGAAGCTGTATGAGGTTTTGCGATCATTACTGTCATCGTCAGTAGTCGAAGTGTTAGTGACAATATCAGCCCTACCTGTTCCACAGATCTGGTCCGACATGTCCACAATTGCGGGCATCCGAATCATGCCATCAGTTTGGGGGCCATCTGGAGCTTGGATCTCAGACCCCTTCTTTACCTGGACTTGTCGAGACATGTTGTATTATAAATGCCTTGAGTCATGAATAGGAGGTGAGAAATTGTCTTCATGGCTGAACTTGAATGCGCATCGAGTTCTTGAAGGCGACGAAGAATGACGCGGTCGTGATGCGGAGACCCCACGAAACGCGTTGGAAGGACGCACCATAGCTTCGTCGGGACTCCTCGCTCGACGACCTGGGGCATCCCCTGCGTTTGACTAGGTGCCAGAGTAATCCATGCGACGGGTCGCTGAGCATCTGAATGTCAACCTCTTCTGTTCGGCATGTGAAGACTGAGATGTCGACACGTGAGCGTCCCAATGCGGCATACCTCGGCATTTGCGCGTATGACGTGAAGCTCCAAACAGCAAGTCACCCGGTCCGTGACGGCAACAACCAATTGCAGCGCTCGCATTCCAACGCACGAGATCATCAGACAGCGGCTTGCTGCACTCCAGAACGCGCTATGTGCGGCCGACTTTCAGCAGCTGGCGGGTTCCCCGGATTGCCTTGGCGTGGAGTAGTTCCTGGCATGTGAAGACGTCCCGAAACTTGCTAAGCCTCTTATAAGTCAGTAAGGGTTGTCCTGTGATTAGCGACACCTCATCACTCTGCTCTCCTTACTCACACCTGCCCCTCTTACGTGTTGACACTCAGAACAACATGTCGAAACGCTTCTCGACCGCTGATGTCGCGTCGCACAAGACAGCGAGCGATCTGTGGATCATCGTAGACAAGGACGTCTATGATCTCACGAACTTCCAGGAGGAGCACCCAGGAGGCAAGAAGAGTACGTCCAACCTCGATGCACAAACATGATTCGCGAAGCTGACAGTCGCAAGTCCTCCAACGCGTCGCCGGAAAGGACGCCTCGAAGCAGTTCTGGAAGTACCACAATGACAGCATCCTTAAGAAGTACCAGAAGCAGCTACAAGTCGGATCGCTAGACAGCAAAGCCGCGCCTCCAGCTCCTCCAGCTACTGCTGCGCCCGAGCAGAAGAAGGCGCCGAAGAAGGATGTGGTCAAGCCAGAGGCCAACTCCGGTGTTATTGCGCCACAGCCAACCGAGGCTGCCGCTGAGGAGTCGGAGCCTTTCGATGCCTACGGCGACCTCATCCCATACGCAGACCCATCATGGTACCAAACAGTATGTCAGCCTACACATCACGCATTGGCATCGCTAACACCAGATCCAGTACCACTCGCCCTACTACAACGATACCCACGTAGCCCTCCGCGATGAAGTCCGCCAATGGGTCGAGGAGAAACTCATGCCCAACGTCACCGAATGGGACGAAGCGAAGAAGGTGCCCGACGAGATCTTCCAGGAAATGGGCGAGCGCGGATACCTCGCTGGTATGCTCGGCATGCACTTCCCTACAGAATACACAGATAAGCGGGTCCAATGTGTGCCGACAGAGAAGTGGGATCACTTCCACGAGATGATCATCACCGATGAGCTGTCAAGGACAGGCAGTGGTGGTCTCGTCTGGGGCCTGATCGGAGGATACGGAATTGGCGGACCTCCTCTGTTCAAGTTCGGCAAGAAGGAGCTCGTCCAGCGCATTGGACCAGACCTATTGAGCGGAAAGAAGAGAATCTGCCTCGCCATCACTGAGCCAGGTAAATTACCTCATCGTGCCCGCAATATGCTTCGACCAATTACTGACTGCAACAGATGCTGGTAGCGACGTCGCGAACCTGACCTGCGAAGCCAAGCTCTCCGAAGACGGCAAACACTACATCGTAAACGGCGAGAAGAAGTGGATCACCAACGGTATTTGGTCCGACTACTTCACAACCGCTGTCCGCACTGGCGGAGAGGGCATGAACGGTGTGTCGGTGCTCCTAATCGAGCGCAGCGCCGGTGGTGTCTCCACTCGTAAGATGGACTGTCAAGGTGTATGGAGCAGCGGCACTACCTACGTTACCTTCGAGGACGTCAAGGTCCCCGTCGAGAACCTCATTGGCAAAGAGAACCAGGGCTTCAAGGTTGTCATGACAAACTTCAACCACGAGCGTATCGGCATCATCATCCAATGTCTGCGCTTCGCCCGCGTCTGCTACGAGGAGAGCGTCAAGTACGCACACAAGCGCAGAACTTTCGGCAAGCGTCTCATCGACCACCCCGTCATTCGCCTCAAGCTCGCGCATATGGCACGTCAGATCGAGGCAAGCTACAACTGGATGGAGAACCTCATCTACCAGTGCCAGAAGATGGACGAGATGGAGGCTATGCTGAAGCTTGGTGGCGCTATTGCCAGTTTGAAGGCGCAAAGTACCACAACCTTCGAGTTCTGTGCTAGAGAGGCAAGTCAGATCTTCGGTGGTCTGAGTTACAGTCGTGGTGGGCAAGGCGCGAAGGTCGAAAGGCTATACAGGGATGTCAGGGCTTACGCTATCCCTGGTGGATCGGAAGAGATCATGCTTGATCTGAGTATCAGGCAGGCGCTGCGGGTGCACAAGGTGCTGGGTATGAAGCTGTAAACTGCTTTAGCGCTATATTCACTTATCTGTATCAATACCATACATCATCTTCCGTCATGAGTCTTGTGGCCGTTCTGTCTCGTCGATGTTATTGTTGTCGATTGGAGAAATGCAGAGCCGCCCGGGCGCGTGACGTGCACGTGGCGGAGAAATTTAATCGATCCTGACTTCCCAGCTCTCTCATTACGAAACCCCGACGCGTCGCCGCAGCTAAACAGCTCATTCGCGACTTCATCCAGGGGCCACCACATACTGTACCGACCACTTAAACTGCACGCACAGATCAATTCAGGTCATTCGAGGCATGTCGCCAGCTTCGAGTTCAGCGTGTTTACCCCCGCGGAAGCCCCACCAGTTACAGCTTCATCTACGGCAGTTACTGCCCAGCTGCCGACAATATGTTCGATACAACCTGTGACCGCATCAAGATTACAACCCATGACCTTACTGGTGGTCTCACAGAGGCAAAGGATCCCACTGCGCCATCCCTAGGGATCTAGTCAAGTGTTCTGATATTAGGTTTTATCCATACAAGGGATAGATGGCAGATGTGCAGGGTGCAGCGACCCCACGTGTATACTCTACACTTACTGAAGCGACACGTGTATGCGGAGGGCTCAGTAATCCTATGTATCCACAAGCCGATCAAGTGTTCAGCCGCAGCACAACATGCAGCCCTTGTAGTAGCACTCCAACTGGTTCCATATGCCGACCTCGCGGCGGTTCTCATAGCTGCACAAGATGCGGGGTACGAAACAATACACTTGGAATCCGGGACGGAGAGAAACCCAACCCAATCTATGATCATCTCTAGATCTTGGAAGGCAACAGATCATGTATCATCGAGATGAAGGCCAATTAACATGTCAACAGGGAGTGCCTCCCGATTCGTGTCTGATGAACGCGCAAGAGGTTGCTATAAAGCATGAAAACAGCGTTGAAGAATGCGCAGTACGGTATAACACAGCCCCAACACAACCAGAGAGCACGCCATCTTCATCACAACAACGATCACATCAATCAACAACATGGCTCCAGTAACTGAAGTACCCCGAAGGGTCGAATGGAACGGAAAGCAGGTCCCGGTCTACCCTATGGAGACGATCGACTTCTCCGCGATCCTCTCACAAGAACCCGCTGAGCTTGAGAAGCTTCTTGAGTGCTGCAAGAAAGAGGGCTTCTTTTACCTGGACCTGAACAATGTCGATGGACGTCGATTCATCGATGACCACCAGGAGTTGTTGAAGGTCATGCACCGTTTCTTCGAGTCTCCTATTGAGATCAAGAACGAGTACGGACTCATCGCTCCTCATCTTGGGTGAGTTACGAAGCCCAGCATGCTTCCATTTTCATGCAAGTACTGAACTGCCTCAGATACGAACCTGTTGGCTCACGCAACGGTTCGCTGGAAGGCAAGCGAGACGGCTACGAGATGGTCAAGATTTCCCGCGATGAGATCCAACGCGAGTCGCCCCACATTCCTCGCAACATCAAGAACAGCTCCGACCTTAAGGTCATCGAGAACGCCATCTCGGGCAACAACATCATGGGCAAGGCCATTTTGGCAGCTCTGTCAACAGCCTTCGGCCTGACGGGTGGTGCGCGTTTCGAGAACTTGCACCGCAATCACCGCCCTTCAACGAGCACACTTTCCATGATGCACTACATCCCTTCGCACCCCGTCAAGGACGGCAACGTCGGCCACCAGAAGCATACCGACATCAGCTCCTTGACAGTGCTCTTTACCGAGCAGTGGGGTCTCCAGATCCGCCCACCAGGCAGCAAGGAGTTTGGCTTCGTGGAGCCCAAGAAGGGCCAAGCCATCATCAACGTCGGCGACTCTCTTCGCTTCGCCAGCGGCCACACTTTCCAGTCGTGCATCCACCGTGTTGTTCCATACGACTACACCGAGCATCGCTACTCGGTTGCATACTTCCTCCGTGCTGAGGATGAGACTATGTTTCAAGACAGCGAGGGTCGCTACGTCACCTCGCGTCAGTGGCATGACGAGAAGTTCCTGGCTTTCCTTGCATCGCCTGCGGATCAGGCGGCTGCTCCGAGCTCTTTGCTCTTGGGTGGCATGCAGGAAGATGAGACTGATGTTTACGGTCTTCCTCAGGCGAAGCCTGTCACTATTGATGCGGCGAAGAACTCTAGTGTTGAAGTGAGTGCTGTGGAAGTCAGCGCTTAGTAGAACCTCTGGGCGATGAGATGTCTTGTTGAAGGGTCTTCTATGTAGCTTCAGATAAATTGTACATAGCTAGCAACACGTTTTGCGTAAGAATGCTCATGAACATGCCACCCTCGTTTTCTACCAACCTCAGAACACTTACGTATGATCTGCATACCTGACAAGAATATAATGTGTAGCGTTACATCATACTTTATTTGCCAATGAGCGCTACTGCCATAAAGATGAACATGTCCTCAATACCCCACAAAATAGAATGAGGACGTAAAGTGCATCGACTGGGATAGAACTAGAACTAACCTGGATGTTGGCTAAACCGGTACATTTGCCGCCACTTGGCACTATATGTACATTCCTCGACCTGGGTAACCCTTCGTCGTCAGCACCTCCGTATGGTTCATGGATTTAACCACGATGCTGTTCATTTTGGCTTTGCTTTACTCTAGAAGTGTCGTTGCATGCGACAAAGAACATCACTACCGACACCATGATCGCCACCTACAACAGCGTGATACTTCCCCCATATTCCCTCCAATATTGACGCCAAACGAAGAGATTTTGGTCTCGTCCTTCGACAACACGTCTATAGCGTCATGGTCAAGCTACTACTGTAACAACATACTCCCTATCCCTCATTTCGAAGGTGATTACTGACTACTTACAATAGCGCATAAGCGAAACCTCGCAGGAGAAAGTGACACGGTTCCAAGATGGACTGCTAAACGATGGGCTGAACATGGCTTTGAATCAAGACTAGATAGCTATCGTGTGTTATTCGTAGCATCTGCTTGAATACAAAGACTAACTAGAGAGGAAGACGTTTACCTTGACTACCCAGTCCACCGTGCTTTGTCACTTGACTATGGCAACGGTAGCACATACCACGCAACACTCGAGGAAGAAGTACTTGATGAAGATGAGCCCACAGGCGATGCGAACAGAGTTCCTGCGTTTCATGGGTATTCCGGCTCAGGTAACGCATCCGCTGAGTACGTCTACGTCGGTACGTGTTACTTGTATCAAAATATTTTCGATGCTAAACGTAGTAGGCCGAGCTTCCCAAGAAGACTTCAAACGTCTTCTTGCCCTAAACATCACGCTTCAAGGCAAAATCGCCCTGGCGAAATACGGCGGCCCCTTTCGAGGCCTCAAAGTGAAGAACGCACAAGCCTTTGCTATGATCGGTGCTGTAATCTTCACAGATCCCGGGGACGACAAAAATATGACAGCCAAGAACTACGCCACGTACCCGGACGGACCGGCAAGAAACCCAACGAGCATTCAAAAAGGTAGTGTCATGGATTTGAGCACGTATCCCGGAGATCCGACAACTCCTGGATATCCATCTAAGGAGGGCGTAGAGAGGAAGGAAAAGAAGACTGTGCCTATAATCCCGAGTTTGCCTATTTCGTGGATTGAAGCGAAACCGTTGTTGATAGCGTTGAATGGTCATGGTGTTGATGCGAAGACTGCGGATCGACCGAATTGGGTGGGTGGAATCGATGGGGTTGAGTACAGTTCTGGGCCGTCGGAAGCTGTGCTATCGATGAGCAATATAATGAGGGGCGAGACCAATTGGATCCACAACGCGATTGGTATTATCAACGGTACGAACGAGGATGAGGTTGTTATCGTTGGGAATCATCATGATTCTTGGATGATCGGCGGAGCAGGTAAGTCAGGAACGCAAGCCGGGACTTTGGACAAGACTAACGTCTACAGCGGATCCGCATTCGGGCTCTGCGATTCTCGTTGAGTTGGCTAAAGCAATCGGTGCTCTGATGAAGACGGGTTGGAAGCCAAAGCGAACCATCGTGCTATGCAGCTGGGATGCTGAGGAATACGGTCTAGTCGGAAGGTGAGCCATCAAGTCGGAACGACGATGAGCACTCCAGCTAAAAGAAGTCACAGCACCGAGTGGGTCGAAGAATACCTACCCTGGTTGAAATCTTCCGCAGTATCCTACCTGAACATCGACGTTGGCATAGCAGGCACCATCCCAGATTTCGGTGCCACCCCCGATCTCCACGCCCTCACCACGTCCACGGCACGAAAAGTCATCTGGCCACACGGCTCAAACCGCACCCTATATGACGAATGGGAGGAAAAGACCGGCGAGATCGATACTCTAGGTGCACAGAGTGACTACACGGCTTTCGTTCATGGCGTGGGCATCTCCGCTATCGATATGGGCACCACACGAGCGCCACTCGACCCGATTTATCACACGCATTCGAACTTCGATTCCTACCACTGGATGACTAAATTTGCGGATCCGGGTTTCGTGATGCACAAGGCAATCGGTCAGTTCTTGACCCTGATGTTGTATCGCTTGGTTGACGAAAAGGTTGTACCGCTTGAGCCCGCGAATTATGGGGTCGAGATGCGGGCGTGGCTCCATGACTTGAGGGGTGTCATTGGGACTGCGAACGCGACAACCTCAGTAATTATAGAAGAGCTTGAGAGTGCAGTTGCGACATTCGAGGATTCGGCACAGCAATTCAATGCTGCTCGGGACATGGCCGTGAGTTCAAACAGTTCGCTTCTGGTCAGACAGCTCAACCACAAGGCGCGCGATTTTGGGCGCGGGTTCGTCAGCCAGGGCGGGCTTCCGGGCAGAGAGTTCTATCGGCATCTTGTCTTTGCCCCTGGTGTCGATACTGGTTATGCGCCTGTTACATATCCTGGAGTGACAGAGGCTGTTGCTGCGGGCAATCTTACTCTGGCAGGGGAGTTTGTCGGGAGAACGGCAAAGGCGATCTTGGCTGCGGCAGCCATTCTCACACCGTAGATGCAGGTTAGATATAGCATGTCAGAATATATTTGAGATGAGATGGCGATAAGCTTACTGCAGTTGATGCGACGTCTGCCCTTTTGCGCGTCAGCTTGTCTCTGTCTTCGCTGGGAGTACCTAGGTAGACGAGGCCGTGGTCAGATGTTCATGCCAGCATTAGATCTAGGCGACTGACATGTAAACCTGCAGATGAGCGATGCGAGTTGATACAATTCGAGATGCAGATGACGGTCAGCGAAGCGGGAGGCTGGAGGCCAAAATAGACTCCCAGTTTGCGACGCGTTCTCATTGGTCGAGCCGAGCACAGCCACAAAGGGCATTGTGACGAGCACTTTCTCATGCATATCTCTGACACTGCACCACCAACTCTATAGGTCCGGGTAATGAGAATGTATGTATGCACCTAGCCTCGTTTGAGCTGTCGCCTTGCACGATGTTCTCTGAGATAGACTACAAATGGACTGACCGGTGAAAACTTCCAAATACGGCCCCCAACCTCTGGGCGCCTGATGCATTGACAACCATAGCCTTTGGTATTCGCCGACATCGTTACATTGCAATGCTCTCCAATAATGAGCTTATGGCTGGTCGCGCGACATTTGATTGGCGAGAGCTTGTCTGGTCGCCAGCTCGAAAGGCTTCACGCCTTGACGTCGCTATGGGCGGGTACAAGCAGGCACCTAGGTAGGGCAACGACACATCGCTTCAACCACGACTGTGACTGTGAGTCACAGTAAAAACCTTGAATTATATCGGCGAGGTATACATAAATATCGGTCTAACCCCATCAACATCAGTCAGGCCGAATGCAGCAAACTCTCCGATTCAACCCCAGGCAACCACCCGTATCCGTAGATCCCTTTACCACAGCAGGGCTGGCCCCCAAATGGACCCATACATGTGGTACGAACCTGACAGTCATAGGGCTGCGCTGCCAATGTGTCTGCCTTGGACGCCGCGCGACGACTTGAAACTGCTCTTGCCAATGTGAAGGTGGCACAGACGAGGGTAAGGCCAATAGCAAATGACGTGGGTGTGCAAACGAGCACAAACACGTAAATAGTGAGGTGTTACCCGTCGCGACTTCTCTTTCTCTTCACCTCTCACTCCAATCACTACGCGCCGGGAAAACCTTTCCTCTTACAACCGAAACCGATACCACCACTGCTGTCGCAGCTACCCATCGTTCACCACCATCCGCACACGGCTCTCTACACATACGAATCAACACCATGGCGATCGCGAACCCACTCCTCAACTTTGTCGTTCGCGGCTTCCAGGCTCTTTTCGGTATTGTCGTACTCGGAATATCCGTCTCACTCATTCGCGGTCACCACTGGGGTGGTCTCCCCGCTAGTCTGGGCTTCTCAGCCTTTGTCGGTGGTGTCACGATCCTAGGAGCAGCGCTTGGGGTCGCAGGACTGTTCTTCAGCTTCTTGGATGGTATGATCGGATTAATAGTCGACGGCGTTGTTGCTGTCATCAACGCGGCAGGTGGCATCGTAAGTGCTAGCCCGAGCTCCTAAGGCCCTCCCAGAATTTTGCGATCGGATATTTCGGCTGACAAAGATCAAGGTTCTCGCTCTCAAGATCTCTGGTGTGGATTGCGATGGCGACCCAACATTAAAGAACCGGGCCAAGCTCCTTCTCAACGACATCTTCAATGGCGGCTGCAGAGCCGAAGACGAGTGCTGGTACTATTACGAGGAAAACGGCGCCAACATCATGAAATCGAGGTGCAAGTCGACCCAAGCCGACTGCGTCTTCATGTTCCTCACCGTTGTTGTTCTCGCGGTGACTGCCTTGCTGGCTTTCTTGCGCATGAAGAAGGGCTACTAGATTTGGAGAAGCACGATGGTGAGTGTCTCTGAATCGACTCATCCATTCTCCTTTCGCTAATTTTTACAGCGACCACCAAGCATTGTAGCGATAATCCAACTTATCCACACTTGACGTAGTGTTGCGCATGTCTCTGGAGGATTTTACGACGGTCTCTTTCTCGTATCACGATACCCTACTACAAGCAAATTCATCATCTGTGCATTTTGTCACATGGAAAAGCGTTTCGACGCTCCGAGGTCTTCGTAGTTCCTCACTAAGCAAGGCACACTCCTTATGGTAGTCGACGCAGTCCAGTCGCGGCCAATGTGCGACACACGCCGTTAATGAACACGAAGTAATGAAAGACGAAGTTGCACGTACTTAT